GATTCCATAGCATTGACTCGTGTAGATGTACTTAATGTCCACAAAAGAGTGATATCTTTATTGGTCAAAAGTCAGGCAACACATCACCAGGAAACATATATTAAAGAATCATACAGAAGGAGAAAAGTGACTATGCTGGGAGTCACCTGCCTAAACTTCTGTCAATACAGGTATCTCTCATTTATGGATTTTGTTATATTTTGCTCCATGCTCAACATAACAATCTATATATATAAGAAGCTGAAGGGCATCCTTAGGCGGTCAAAAACGGAGAAACCACCGGACGAAATCTCACCAAATTTGGCCTGCTAATACCTCTTCCACCAAGGTATGACCAACAATCCTCAAAACACCAATATGCAACAACACAAACGCACAATACCCGAAAAACACGGAGCATGCACAGAGGCCTCGGGAGGAATACGATGAGGAAGGACTCCATTTACCAGCTTCCCCCGCGCCCAAGTTGCCCTCCGCATGCGCACTGCCCTGCCTCCCTCTACCCCACCGCTCCCGCCACTTTGGTGGATTTCGACTCCTACGACGACCGGGCCTACAGCAGCTTCGGAGGCGGCCGCGGGTGAGCCAGGGCAGCCTCTCTTCCGAGGCAGAGAGGGAGGTGCCTGGGGCAGGTAGGCCTCGATACGAGGAGCAGGGATTGTGATGCTGGGGGCCTCGAGGCCTGCCCCTCGCTCTCTCTTTCTCTCCCCCCCCCCAAGGCCTTTGGGCCTGCTCGCCTCAAGGCCAACCTTTGGCATGGCAATGGATGCCTTTGGGCACACCTTCCCGTTATTGGGGTGGCTTCCTGGGCCCTCCCACACAGCCAGAACACAATCTAGAGAAACACAAATGTCACCTTCGTTTGTGGGATGGGGTGAGCCAGGGCGGTCTCTCTTCCAAGGCAGAAGGAAAGAAAGGAAGATAGAGAAGGAAGGAGAGGGGAAGGAGGGAAGGAAAGAAAGGATAGAGAAGGAAGGAAGGGGAGAGAAAGAGGGAAAGAAGGAGGGAAGGAGAAAAAGAAGGAAAGAAAGAAAGATAGAGAAGAAAGGAGGGAGAGAAAGAGGGAAAGAAGGAGGGAAGGAAAGAAAGAAAGCAGGGTAGAGAAGGAAGGAAGGGGAGAAGAGGGAGAGAAGGAGAGAAGGAAAGAAAGAAAGGAAGATAAAGAAGGATGGAAAGAGAGGAGGAGGGAAAGAAGGAGAGAAGGAAAGAAAGAAAGGCAGAGAAGGAAGGAAAGAGAGAAGGAAATAAAAAAGTGAAAGAAGGAAGGAAGGAAGGAAGGAGAGAAGGAACGAAAGAGGGAGGGAGGTAGGGAGGGAGGGAAGGAAGAAAGGAAAGAGACAAGGAAGGATGAAACCAAACAACAAAGGAAGCGAGAAAAGAAACAGGTAGAGAAGGAAGAAAGAAGAAAAGAAAGAAAAAGAGGGAAAGAAGGAAAGAGGGAGGGAAGGAAGGAGAGGGAGAAAGAGGGAGGGAAGGTTTGCCACAGCAACGCGTGGCGGGTACAGCTAGTCTATATAAATAAAATTTAATGTTAGTTTGTGGGATTAACATAACTCAAAAACCACTGGATGAATCAACACCAAATTTGGACACAATACACCTATTAGGCCAACGAGTGACCATCACTCATAAAAACCCTGAAAAACACAGCAGAAGAGATTTTAAAAGCCAAAAAACAAAACATTACAACACATGCATAAAACCACATACATACACAAACATACATATATACACATATACACAATTATATACACATATATATGAATATACACACACAAAACACAAACTGGGCCACAGCAACGCGTGGCAGGGGATGGCTAGTCTTTAATATATTTGCTACCAATTAGCAAATCCAATTGTGTAGACTTCGGTTAATCATCCCATGCCTTAAACATCCAATGTTGACAAAATTGCAGAGTCAAAATTCAAAGTGCCTTTCAGGTTCTCCCAACGTTGTTAGCAATATGGAGCCACCGCATTGTAGTGCTTTGAGCTCTGGATTGGACACTATGGAGCTGGATTCAAATCCCCACCCAGCCATGGAAATCTCTTGGGTGACCTTGGAAAAGTCACATTCTCTCGGCCTCAAAGGGCAAAGGAAATTCCCCTCTTAACCATTCCTACATCTCAAAAAACACTTGCAATACTTTCATCCACATTATCTCTTTTGAACTGGATTATATGAGACTACACTGCCATATAATCCAGTTCAAAATAGATTGTCTGTTTTTTAAATGGTAATGTAGAAGGAGCCTGTCAAGCTGACCTCGCTGTTTATAGTAACAGCTCTGGATAGACCTTCCCTCCACGGCAGGCAGCGGAGAGGGAGGGCCGCAAGAGGAGGAAACCATGACAGTGTTGTGTTACTCATCGCAGCTATGACATCCACATCCTCTTTCAAGGACATTGCAGAGCGTGTCCCATCCACCGGGATCCCTCGGCTTTTGCATTAAAAACCACGCACCCACCACAACAAGCGAGCAATCCCATCAATTTAAAGACTCCTAAGGACAACAGCAAAATGCATGCAAATATAGATTTGCCTTCAAGTTGCTTCCGCACTCATGGCGACCTTGTGAATTTTATGGGTTTTTTTAAAAGCAAGTACTATTCGGAAATAGTTTGCCAGTCCCTTCCTCTGAAATGCGCCCTATAGCATCTGATATGGCCTCCCATGCACGTCCTAACCAGGCCTGATCCTGCTTGGCTCCCAAGACCAGACAAGATCTAGTACGACCATGATACATATTTCAAACATTTATAGCCCGTCCTTCTCAACCCCAAGAGGGTGGACTAAGGGAGGCTCTGAATACGCGAGATATGTACATACATAAAGGATATATATACTTCTGCTATATATACGTAGGTCAACAAGAATTGCAACTACTGTCCAAAGTAGGACTGATCTTGCACAGCTTCCAAGATCAGGCTGGATCTGGTGCTTTTAGGAAATATATGCAATTTCTTAAAAACCCAGCAGCTCGTATTTGTTGGGTGCCTCCCATGTAACTAGGCCTCATCCTGCTTCGCTCCCAAGATCAGACACAATCTGGTGCCTTTATGGTAGGCATGGGCAAACTTCAGCCCTCCAGGTGTTTTGGACTTCAACTCCCACAATTCCTAACAGCCTACTGGCTATTAGGAATTGTGGGAGTTGAAGTCCAAAACACCTGGAGCGCTGAAGTTTGCCCATGCCTGCTTTATGGTATTTAGACCCCTCTCTCTCTCTCTCTCTCTGTGTGTGTGTGTGTTTGTGTACACACACACACACACACACACACTGTATGTATACACACACACACACACATAGAGGAGCCCCCCGTGGCACAGTGGGTTAAAGCGCTGCACGGGATGGGGTGAGCTTCCATTGTTAGCCCCAACTCCTGCCAACCTAGCAGTTTGAAAACATGGAAATGTAAGTAGATCAATAGGTACCACCTTGGTGGGAGAGTAAACAGTGCTCCATGCAGTCATGCTGGCCACATGACCTAGGAGGTGTCTATGGACAACACTGGCTCTTTGGCTTAGAAATGGAGATGAGCAACGAACACCCAGTCAGACACGACTGGACTTAATGTCAGGGGAAAACCTTTACCATAGGTAAAAGTTTTCCCCTGACATTAAGTCCATTCGTGTATGCCTCTCTCTGTGTATGTATATGTATGTGTGTGTATATATATGTGTGTGTATCCATACATACACATACATATACAGAGAGAGAGAGAGTCATACACACATACATACATGTGTGTATGTGTATATCTCTCTATATATAGATATATAAATCAAGATATGCAAAAGATACCTCCATTATACATACATAGGTTTACAATAACAATCAGAGGCTGGATGGCCATCTGTCAGGGGTGATTTGAATGCAACATTCCTGCTTCTTGGCAGGGGGTTGGACTGGATGGCCAATGAGGTCTCTTCCAACTCTTTGATTCTATGATTCTATGACTAATCACTGCACAAACCAAGGTCGATCCTGGATCACTCCCAAGATCAGACAAGGTCTGGTACCTTTATGACATTCAAAACATTCTCTATATAATATATTATATTGTGTGTGTGTGTGTACATATATATATGTGTGTGTGTGTATATATATATATGTATATATATAATCTATTATATATATAATCTATATAATATAATATAAAATATAATATATTATAATATATAATATAATATATATACTATATTATAATTAAATTATATAATTTATTATATAATATGCATGCACATGTGTGTACTGTGTGTGTGTATATATATATATACACACACATATAAATATACATACACAAATTGTTGATGTTTTTGATGATGATGTTTTTGGTTATTGCTAGATTGATATTTTAGATTGTGTCTTGAATTTTGAACCTTGTCCTTTCTATGTTGTACACCGCTGTGAGTCGCCCCTGGGCTGAGAACAGCGGTATATAAGCAAAGTAAATAAATTAATTAATTAATATTTATATATTCAAGATATTTATAAGCCTGCATACATACACATACATACATGCATACATACCTGGACTATACATACATAGATCAAGATCAATTCCAATTACTGCGCAAACCATGGCTGATCCTGCTTAACCCTGGAGGCCAGACAGGCTCTGGTCTGTTAATAATAGTATTTTAATATGTATTCTAATATTTTAATATTTATATAATTTTTGCAATGTGTATGAGTCTCAATCAGGGTGTAACCCAGCTCAAGCCATGAGAAGAGGTGGATAAGATATACAATTATTATTATTAATATGCATGATTGATATATTTATAATCCTGTGCACATACACAAAGGGTTATAAATACCTACATAGGCCAACTACAGGTATACACAAACCAGGGCTGATCCTGCTTATTATCTCCCAGGACCAGACAGGCTCCAGTGCATTTAGAAAACAAATGCAAATCTATACATTAAAAAAAAACAACATCATCAGCTCTGATGCAAGCCAAGAGGGAGCCAACCACAAAGGCCTGCTTACCTTCTTGACCTGATCATCCTTTAATTCGGTGAAGTAATAGGCCAAAAGCTGGGCAGCGATCATCTTGCCGGGAGAAAGAAGAGGTCTCTCCGGCTGGGGATGGAGGGGAAGAAGAATAGAGATCAATCTAGGAGGCTGATCCTTTGGAGAGGAGGATGCAGAGATGCCTCCCAAGCGCCTAGAGGTCCTTCTTCCCTGCAGAGAGGTCAAAAAAAGGGAGCCAGGGGCTGGAGGAGCGGCGCCTCCCTCCCTCCTCCTCCTCCTTTCCTTCCACGCGAGAGAGAGGCCGGCTCTGCGCCCGCCCTCTTCCTGCGCGATGATTGGCTGCTCCGGGGACAGACAGGGCGCGCGCTTTTGGGGGGCAGGGAGGGTGGGGGGAGATCCCGGCACGTCCCCCACGTAGCTCCCACGCGGGATCGGGGCTAAAGGGGGTGGGGACTCCCAGGAAGCTCCCTAAAAAGGGAAAAGGGTGCATCTACGTTATGAAATAAAGCGGTTTGGTCCCCACTTTGAACTGGAATCGTCGTTGTCCAAAAGAAGCGACTGCCAATGCCAGCATCCCATAGCCTTGAGCCATAGATATTAAAGCAGAATCAAACTGCATTGGGTAGCCTAACAAAAATAACAAAGCCAGCGGACCTGATGGGATCCCTGCTGAAATCTTTAAAGAGGGAGAACCTGAGCTGACACAAGCTGCGCCTGTACCTTGGGAAGTCTGACTTGGCCACGGTAGTCCACGCTCTGGTTACATCCCGTTTAGACTACTGCAATGCTCTCTACGTGGGGTTGCCTTTGAAGACGGCCCGGAAGCTCCAACTGGTCCAACGTGCGGCAGCCATGATACTAACAGGAGCGGGACGCAGGGAGCATACAACCCCCCTGCTGTACCAGCTCCACTGGCTGCCGATCTGCTACCGGGCTCAATTCAAGGTGCTGGCATTGGCCTATAAAGCCCTAAACGGTTCCGGCCCAAGATACCTAACTGACCGCCTCTCGGCCTATGAGCCCACGAGGACTTTGAGATCTTCCGGGGAGGCCCTGCTCTCGATCCCGCCTGCGTCACAGGCACGGCTGGCGGGGACGAGAGATAGGGCCTTCTCGGTGGTGGCGCCTCGGCTGTGGAACACCCTTCCTGTGGACATCAGGCTAGCTCCCTCCCTGTTGATATTCCGCAGGAAATTAAAGACCTGGCTGTTTAAGAAGGCATTTGAACAAGAAGTGCAATGATTGGTAATTTGACCATAGGAATGGAACAACGGAAATGATATCGGATTGTGGGTTTGACGATGAGACGACACGGAATGGCTTTTGTAGTAATGTTGATGTTTTTGATTAGGATGTTTTTGATAATGATGAATTGTGGATTATTTTTACACTATGTCTTGTATTTTGCACCTGTTTTTCTATGTTGTACACCGCAATGAGTCGCCCCTGGGCTGAGAATTGCGGTATATAAGTGCAGTAAATAAATAATAATAATAATAATATTGTATTGTCGAAGGCTTTCATGGCTGGAATCACTAGGTTCTTGTGGGTTTTTTCGGGCTATAGGGCCATGTTCTAGAGGCATTTCTCCTGACGTTTCGCCTGCATCTATGGCAAGCATCCTCCGAGGTAGTGAGGTCTGTTGGAATTAGGACAATGGGTTTATATATCTGTGGAATGGCTGGGGTGGGGCAAGGAGCTCTTCCCTGCTGCAGTTAGGTGTGAATGTTTAGCTGATCACCTTCATTAGCATTTGAAGGCCTGCCTGAGCCTGGGAAAATCTGTTGCTGGGAGGTGTTAATCTGTGCCTGGTTTTTTCCTCGCTGCTGTTTAGCTGTTATAATTTTAGAGTTTTTTTAATACTGGTAGCCAGATTTTGTTCATTTTCATGGTCTCTTCCTTTCTGTTGAAATTGTCCACATGCTTGGGGATTGCAGGGCCTCTCCAGACTATCTTAATAATCTTGGTGGTTCATAGGGGAGAATACGTTCGGAGAGGTAAACAGGGCCGGAGTCGTTTAGAACTAACCCTATGCCCTGTTCGGCCTTACAACTGACCAGGAGTACCTCTGCCTTGTCTGGATTCAATTTCAATTTGTTCGCCCTCATCCAGACTGTCACAGCTGCCAAGCACTAATTCAAGACCTGAACAGCCTCCTTAGTAGCAGGTGGGAAGGAGTAACAGAGTTGGACGTCATCTGCATACAGGTGACACCGCACCCCAAAACTCCAGATGATCTCCCCCAGAGGCTTCATGTAGATGTTAATCAGCATGGGAGACAATACTGACCCCTGAGGAACCCCACAAGACAATGGTTGTGGAGTTGAAGAGGCGCCCCCCAATAACAATAACACCATCTGGGAGCGATCCTCTAGGAAGGACTGGAGCCACTGCAGAACAGTGCCTCCAAGGCCCATTCCCGCGAGGCCTCTGAGAGGTCCAGCAGAACCAACAGGGACACACTCCCCCTGTCTAGTTCCCGGCGTAGATCATCCACTAAGGCAGCGGTTCTCAACCTGGGGGTCGCGACACACCAAAGGTGGGGCGTTTGGTCATTTTCTGGGGGTCACCAAGGTGCCTTGGCTAGCCCCGCCCCCTCGAAACTGGCTGCCAACCCCCTGAGCCAGCCACATGGCACTCCTGGCAGGCTCCTGCTCCTGCTCTTCCCACAGACCTGTGGGTAGTCAGGAGGAGGAGCTTTGGAGGCAAAGGCACGGGGGAAGAAGACTCACCCTCGGTTTTGGCCTGCAAGTAAGCTGCTTCCTGCCCTACTCAATGCCTGGCCATCCGGGTCTATATTCCCCAAGCCTCTCCAGTATTTTCTCTTGATTATGGGAGTGCTCTGTGCCAAGTTTGAGTCAATTCCATGGTTGCATGAGTTCAGAATGCTCTTTGATGGCAGAGGAACTATATATCCCAGCAACTCCAAAATGCAAAGTTCCATTTTCCCAAGCCTCTCCAGTATTTTCTGTTGATTATGGGAGTTCTCTGTGCCAAGTTTGAGTCAATTCTATAGTTGCATGAGTTCAGAATGCTTTTTGATGGGAGGGAACTATATATCCCAGCAACTTGCAAATGCCAAGGTCTATATTCCCCAAGCCTCTCCAGTATTTTCTGTTGATAATGGGAGTTCTGTATTCCAAGTTTGGTTCAATTCTATTGTTGTTGTAGTTCAGAATGCTCTTTGATGGCAGAGGACTATTCCTCCCAACAATTCTCAAATGTCAGGAAAATAACCCTAAAACTCTCCATTAATTTCTGTTGGTTATGTGAGTTCTGTATGCCAAGCTCATTCAATTCCATTTTGTTGGAGTTCAGAATGCTCTTTGATGGCAGAGGAACTATAAATACCAGCAACTGCAACTCCCAAATGTCAAGATCCATTTTCCCCAAAGCCCACCATTGTTCAAATTTGGGCATATTGAATATTCATGCGGAGTTTGGTCCAGATCCATAGTCATTTGGGTTCATGGTGCTTTCTGGATGTAGGTGAACTACATCTCCCCTAAATCACTGTCAATTCCTCTTAACCTCCTCCTGTATTTTCTGTTGGTTATGGGAGTTCTGTTTGCCAAGTTTGGTCCAGGCCTGTAATTCGTGGTCAGTTCCTTCCCCCATCTAAAGCCAGACTGCGCCGGATCCAGATAATGTCTTCCAAGAATACCTGGAGTTGTGAGGCCACCACACGTTCCAGGACTTTGCCCAAAAGTGGGGGATTGGAAACAGACCGATAGCTGTTGAATTGAGTCCAGTGATGGTTTTTTCAACAGCGGTTTTATTATAGCTTATTTTAAGCTCGCTAGAATGTTGCCTTCCCAGTATCAAACTGCATTAATGTTGCAGTGTAGATGCACACAAAGAATTTTTTTTCTAAATCAAGCCACCTATGAAGGCAAGGCAAAGCGAGAGAGAGCTCATCTCCCAATACCAGGCTCTGCTAGGCCATCAAGATGGTCAGTTGAAACATTCACACCTAGCTCCAGCAGACAAGAGTCCTTTGTCTCACCCTGGTCATTCCACAGATATATAAACCCATTTTCCTAGTTCCAACAGACCTCACTACCTCTGAGGATGCTTGCCATAGATGCAGGCGAAACGTCAGGAGAGAATGCCTCTAGAACATGGCCATACAGCCCGAAAAAACCTACAACAACCCAGTGATTCCGGCCATGAAAGCCTTTGACAATACATACACTTTTAGAGCAAACTGTCATGGGATCAAAGGAGTTGTAGTTTTACAAGGTCAAAGTGGGGCCAAGCTGCCTTTATTCCACAGCGAGGATGCATTCTCCATTATTGCTGCTTTGTCAGGGAGATGCCTGAGCACCATCGCAGCAACAGGCATGCGCACTGGGGTCCTTTCACCGCCCCCGCCCCCTCCCCGCGCTGGCCGAGCCATGGGGCGCGAGCCCTAGGAGTTGCCACGTGATCGAGCGGCACAGCAGCCCGATGAGACAGCATCCTTTAGAGATCGTGAGAGAGACATACAGACGCACGCATGCGCACAAGCACACGCGGTGCGTCTCAGTGGGGAATGGGGAAACCCGTTTGTTTGCATCCGGGCCGCAATTGCTGCTTTGTTTGGCAGCCCAAGGAACATAAAAAACATCCAATGCTGGAGATAGTGGTTAGTTTGCTGCAAGAAAACTATACAGAAATTTATACAGTCTGGGGCCTCTTCTATGTTGGCATATAAAATCCAGATTTTCTGCTTTGAACTGGATTATATGACAATGTAGACTCATATAATCCAGTTCAAAACAGATCATGTGAATTATCTGATTTGATAATCTGGACTAAAAATCCAGATTATCTGCTTTCATATAGTCCAGTTCAAAGCAGATCATGCAATTATCTACTTTGATAATCTGGATTATATGGAAGTGTAGAAGGGGACTGAGAGTTTGCTGTTGTGTGTATAAAATTAAAATGAATGACATTCTAATTGCCATATAATCCGGATTATCTGCTTTGAACTGGATTATATGACAGTGTAGACTCATATAATCCAGTTCAAAGCAGATCATGTGGGTAGTGTGTTTTGATAATCTGGATTATATGGCAGAATGTAATTCAATGTAATTTTATATACACAACAGCAAACTCTCAGGTCCCTTCTAAACTTCCATATAATCCAGATTATCAAAATAGATAATCCCATTATCTCCTTTGAATTGGACTAGATGAATCTACATTGCCATATAATCCAGTTCAAAGCAGATAATCTGGATTATATGGCAGTTAGAATGTAATTCAATTTAATTTTATACACACTGCAGCAAACTCTTTGGTTCGTCTACACTTCC